ATGGTTGAGTAGTATTCCATTGTATAAATATACCACAAATTCTTTATCCAGTCATCTGTTGATGGACATTTAGGCTGTTTCCATGTCTCGGCTATTGTAAATAATGCTGCTATGAACATTGGGGTGCAGGTGTCATCCTGAAGTAGGGTTCCTTCTGGATATAAGCCCAGGAGTGGGATTGCTGGGTCATATGATAAGTCTATTCCTAGTCTTTTGAGGACTCTCCATACTGTTCTCCACAGTGGCTGCACCAAACTGCATTCCCACCAGCAGTGGAGGAGGGTTCCCTTTTCTCCACAGCCTCTCTGGCATTTGTCATTTGTGGACTTTTGAATGATGGCCATTCTGATTTTTTATTTCACTTATATTTGTCATCTCTATTTTGTTCTTTATATTTTCTAACACTTTGTTAAGAACATCTAACTTCTCTTTCTGTTTATCCATTTTCTCCTGAGTTCTTTGATCTTTATGATTATACCTTGTACTCTTTCTCAGATAGACTGCCTATCTCCACTTCACTTGGTTCTTCTTCTGGATTTTATCTTGTTCTTTTATTTGGAACATCTTCCTCTGTTGCCTCATTTTTGCCTAATTTGCTGTTTTTATTTCTGTGTATCTGGTAGGTTGCTTATGTTTCCTGAGCTTGGAGAAGTGGCCTTTTGTAGAAGACATCGTATGTATTCCAGTAGCACACTCCTCTCTGTTCACCAGAGCTGTATGCTCTAGGGGTGTCTCCTGTGTGGGCTATGTGGGTTCTTCTGTTTTGGTGGGCTGACTACTATGGTTTGTGTATAGGCGTGGCTGGCCCCTGGTCCTGTTGGTTGCCAGGTTTCACTTTGTGCACTGGTTTGTGGGGATAGGTCATGACACAACTGGCTGTGGAACCCCAGCAGGCCCCAGAGCTAGTGCTGGCTCACTGGTTGGCAGCACCAGGTTCTGCAGTGGGTGGTTACAGGGCCAGGGTTGCCAGATCTAGTGTCAGCCTGCTGGCGGATGCTCACTAGTGGGTGGAGCCTCATCCTGAAGACTCTGGCTGAAGTGCCCAAGTTATCTCAGAGCTGGCGTTGGCCTGCTAGTGGGCAGGGCTGGGTCCTGCCACAGGAGGCTGGGGGACTGCAGTTGTCCTGGGGCTGGTGTCTGCCTGCTGGTGGGCAGGTTCAGGGTTCTGGGTGTTCTGGGGCTGGTACCTATCCACTGGTGGGTGGAGCTGGGTCCCAGGGTCTTTGGCTGCAGGGCCCTTGGGGCCCCAAGTCTAGTTCCTGTGCCCTAGTTGTGGGGCTGTCCTGGGCCCTCTGGTGGTCAAGGTCATGTCCAGGGTGGCTGTGGGCTCAGGGGGTCTTAAAGCAGCCCGCCTGCAGGTGGGTGGCACTCTGTCCCCACCAAGCTAGTTGTCTGGCCTAAAGCATCCCAGTACTGATGCTTACAGGCTGGTGGGCAGGGCCAGGGCCGGGTCCTGAGGCTTATCGTCTAGGGAGAGGATTCCAGAAGGGCGTTCGCCAGCACCAGTGTCAGTGTGGTAGAAGGAGTCTCCAGAAATGGCTGTCCCCAATTTCTGTGTCCCCAGGGTGAACTCTGGTCGCCTCCTGCCTCCCGGAGAGACTCTAAGATCAGCAGGTGGGTCTGACCCAGGCTTCTTTCAAACGACTGCTCCTGTCCTGGGTCCTGGTGCATGAGAGAGCTTATGTGCGCCCTTGAAGAGTGGACTCTCTATTTCCCAACAGCCCTCTAGGTCTGCCCAAAATAAGCCCCCCAGCCTTCAAAGCCTAATTTTCTGGGGGCTCATCTTCCCAGCACAGAACCCCTGGGCTGGGGCGCTCACTGTGGGGTTCAGGCCGCTTGCTCCTTGGGGAGAACCTCAGCAACTGTAGTTATTCTTCAGTTTGTGGGTCACTCACTGGGGGTGTGGGTCTTGACTATACCATGATTCCGCCCCTTTGCCCAACTTGTGGTTCCTTCTTTATATCTTTAGTTGTATAAGGTCTTTTCTAGTAGGTTCCAGTCTTTCTCATCAATAGTTTCTTTGTAAATAGTTGTAATTTTGGGGGTGCTTGTGAGGAGGTGAGCTCAGGTTCTTCTTATTCCACCGTCTTGGGAACCTTCCCTGCCTTTGATTTTTAAAAATGTGTGTACAGAATGTTTGCCTGTGGATTTCAGGAAGTGAAAAGCTTCCATGGAACAGATAAACAGAAGAGAATATAAACTTCAGATGCACCCTGAAAAACCAAATATATTTTATTTTACATAAAAAAGTGGTTATGACAATACGACACATATGTAGAAATTTCTTCAAGAAACCTATCCCCAACCATTCCAAAGAGTAGGCCTTTGTTCAGACTTCTTGTTTTCTATAGTTGACCACAGCCAAGGGTTTCACTAGAGTCCACTGTTTGACTGGACATGTTTCACAGGAGAACATGGTGGCACTTAGTAGTGAGAGGATAGTAGTTGTGATTCCTAGTGGGAACGTGTAAGAGAAACATTTCTTTGTTAGCATTTCTCTTTTAATAGAAAAGGTAATTGGAAAGTCAAGGATGGTTTCACCATAAAATTCCACAGTGAAATTCCAGCTCACGGTAATCATGGTACAACTACAGCTGAGTAAAAGGAAGAAGGCAGCAGTGTTGTAGTGCAGTTGGAGGAAACCTGGGTACGGGGCCTTGATCCAGCTGACTGAAAATGCCACTGAGCTGAAAATCAGGACTGCAGACATCATAAAATTGGCCAGCAGCATCAGGTCCTGCCCACACCAGATTTCATCTGAAATGACCCAGCTCGAGTTGATCTTGCTATGCATCGGCAACTCAGCTATTGAGCCAGAGATGTTAAGTTTCTGAAAATAGAAAGGTTCCCAAAGTCCAATGAACACAATGGGAACAGTCTTGCTATCAAACTCCCACATGTGCCAGGCTCTGCTTCTGGCTAGGCTTATGCCGAAACCCCAGGCCAAGTAACTAAGAAAAAGGCCCATCACTTTGAAGAACAAGTGCTTCATTTCAGGTTGACTGAGGACGAGGTAGAGGCGTCATGAAGTCAAGCCAGGAGCATCAAAGAGAAAAAATAAACAGATAGAATGAGCCACAGGTTACACACTGTTCATTATTTACATCTTGTCCTTCTTGTCTAAAAGTTATAGTCAAGTGTTTTATGTATGTATTGGCCTTCAATTATTATTCTAAATATTTTATGTAAGAATAAATGATGCCTAGAAATCTGTGATCACAGTGGGAGTATTAATTTGCAAGGCATTTTTGGAACACAATTTGACAGTATCTTTCTGAAGTGTTCATACCTCTTGTCCACCAACTCCAATTCCAGGAATTGATACTAAGGCATTTATAAGAGTTTGCAAAAATATATAGAGAGAGATGTTAGTTTCAGCACCATTTATCATAGAGAAAAATTGGAAATAACCTAAATGTCTATTAATAGAAGAATGCTTAAATAAATAATGGTGCATCCACATTTATAGTGGAATTTTACGTGGCATTACTAAGACTGATTAGTCCATATGCATTGTCTGAAGAAACTTCTGCATTATACTAAAAAAGCAAAATGAGTAATAATACGCATGGTATAACCATTTGTGTCAAAAGAAGAACAGCTGTAATTTTCTTTATGTATATGCAAATAGATATGTACATACTTTTTTTAAAAGTTGAGAAGGATGCACACAAAGTAATTTTAGGGAGATCAATTGAGAAAGGTAGAGACTTTCATTCTTACTTATTTTTCTATAATTTATATGTTTTTTGTGGGAAAAAACCAACAGATGTTTATAATTAAAAACGATAAACTTGACCTTGAAGATGTATAATATGTTGCATATAGCAAACCATGCCTATTTACTCTTTCTACCCATCATTTGCTCAAAATTCCCCTTTTATTTATTTTTTATTTTGGGGGGGAGGTAATTAGGTTTATTTATTTATCTTAATGGAGGCACTGGGGATTGAATCCAGGACCTCAGGAATGCTAAGCCTGTGCTCTACCACTGAGCACTATCCTCCCCCCTAAAATTCCACCTTTACATGTTGGCTTCTTTTGGGCACACCTTAAAAATGTCTTGATGTATTTTGCATAAACCAAACATCTTTGATGAAGCAAAACCTAGATTGTGGATCAACTTATTTGGATTTCTTTTCAATTTGAATCCTTGGGAGTAAGTTGCAGGGATAATCAGAAAATGATACTCCTAGGGCTTGTCCGTCTGTCAGCAGAAAGGAATGAGAATGAGGCTCTGGGAAGCATGGCGTTCCTGTGCCAGAGAGAGGGTACAGGGCAGGTGGCTCCCATCTTCCACATGAGGGATCAAAATACAGAGATTCGAAGTGGCTTGTCCTTGGTCAGAAATGGAGCTGGGATGAAACTCCAGGTCTTCTGATGCAGTTCTGCAGGTAATAGTATTATCTGCTGGAGAGCTTTTTTTTTTTTAATTGGTCCACAGGCTCATTATTCACATGACTGAGGTGTCTTATTGGAGATGTCACACACTATCAAAATGTCCTCTGCATATTCTCCTTGGGAAACGTGCTCTTCCTCTAGGGGAACAGGGTGAGACTTGTGGAGCCTGAAAGAAAAAAGCCATATGCCTTTTCCAGAGTTCTCTTGTCTCCTCTTCTAAGTAGGAGGCTCCCCCAACAGAGAAAATCGAGGGGATCAATAATTGTGTGGTTTCTCTGCAAAATGTCAAATGCCCGTCTAGTCTCCTGACTGGCTGCACTTCTATTAGAAACCTAACTCTACAAAGCACAATTGACTTTGAAATTATATAAATATTTCACATATTCAAAAAATAAAACTGTCAAAAACACCAGAGTAATCCCTACAAATAGAAAAAGAGATAAGCAAATTTAATTTCTTACCAAGTTGGTGATATAACCATACAACTACCATTAATGGTTAATTCTATAGCCATCATTATACCAAAAAATTTTAGAATGCAGTATTTTGACTACATAAACCTAATACAATAAATTATAGAGACAAAAAGGACTTTAAAGAGCCCTTAAACTTTATTTAGTAGTCTTATGGCTAATAACAATATTAGTAATATTATTTTTAAAATTTATATATCAGAGTAAATAAGTATGTTAATATTGTTGGGGTTTCAACCTGGGAAAAAGAAATGCAGTATAAAATTGCAGCTAAATAAAAATTCTGTAAGTTAAGGTTGAATTAAAAATAATTTTATAATAGGATTCTTTTCTTCTTAAAATATGTATATCCTAGTTCTGTTCACTAAAATACCTAGATATATTGATAACCCTGTAGAATGAGCACCATCAGTGTGCAAACTGTGGTTTTGAAATACCATCTCCATGTCTAGGGCTCATTGGAGGAATGGCATAGCTGATTTAAGGTCTTGGACTTGAAATGTACAAGATGCATCTGGTACATCTTGTTGAGGGACAAAAAAGAAAGCCCCAAATGCCAATGGGGGCTGCTAATGGGCTTTCTTTTGGGGCTGATGAAAATGTTCTATAGTCAGTCATAGTGGCTGCACAATTATGTGAGTGTACTAAACCACTAGTACATGTTAGAGGGTGAATTTTATGGTATATGATTTAAACTTCAGTAACACTGTTATTAAAGCATGATTTTTAAACTATTGTTGAGAGCAAAACAAAAACAACTAATAGGAACTACCATCCCTACCACTGTGCAGGCCATGGAAATCATGACTGACTGTGAGTTATAGGAAGCACCTCCTCTTAACTGATGGGGATGGTCAGAGAATTAATTGGCTAGTGAAGAGCAAGTCTGGATTCCAGGAGGGAGGGATACTCTGAGCTCACTGTCGCCATGTGGACCTCCAATGGGCAAACCCTTGCTGATACGTAAATCTCAGAACCAGAAAAATTCAAAAAAAATTTACCGTGATATATAATACAGCATAGCTGGAGAACGTGAAAAAAAATTCTTAATGCAGAATGCAGATTTTTCTAGCAAAACAAGTATGGGAAAAACTGTCAAGAGTCCAATGCTTTTGCAGAAGTAGTCCAGCATCATCCAAACAGGCATGAGCCAGAAAAGAACTACAGGCTCTGGGAAAGGACAGAACTTTTCTCAAACATAGTAAAGGAAAAACTGAAGATAAACTGGAACTGAGATTAAAAACAATACCTTGTTCTTCTTAGATCATCCATGAACTTCAGTGTAACGATGGCAAGCTCTTGGACGTGGAAGAAACTCAAGAAACACGTAAGCAAACAGATTCCAGGCCACTGGCTGGCTTAATGTCTTACTATTGCAGACTGTAAAGATGGCCCCATGATCTTACTGCATTTAGAATTTGCTTTGCTCCCAAGATAGTGCTTCTGCAGTGAAATCCTTCCCATTCAAATATTAACATGCTTTCTAGCCATGTTTCTTGAAAGGAAAATGACTTCAGTAATGATTTGATTTTACTAAAAATGCTTTTTTCTTAAACTTTAAAGGTAGAAACCATCACTGACAGCTGTTAAATGATTTTAAGGCGGGTTTATCTGTGCTTATTAATATTCTAGGTAGGCTTTTAACTAGTAAAGTTGACTTTAAAAAATGAGCTGAGAATTATGAGAAGGGGGAGTTTCTAGCATGTCCATGAAACAACAAATCAGTTTTTGGAAATTGTCACTTTGAAAATGAGATCCATGAATAGATTCTCTTCAAGAGAGTTCTGAACCTGCATAAAATTTTATGTGTTTGGAATTATTCTGGGCAGCATTTCTGTGAGGTTATTAAGAGCAACTGGTATAAAAGGTAATTAGGTACAGAGTAAATGTGCTTTAATTTCAGCATCTAACATTTGACACGTAGTTGTTAATTGTATTGCTATGTACTCTTCTTCACTATTTCGCTCTTGAGGAAAATCATTTTCACAGAAAGAATTTTATTAAGTGAAGAGTTGAGGTAAATAGTACGATTGTCTAGAATAAAGGTTTTTTTTTGAATCTTAAAATAATACCAGTAGAGGTATATCAGAGGACACGTGTCCCTGCGGCTCCACTGCCCAGAAGGGCACAATTTGATCATAAAAGGAATAACAAGTGCCATTGAGGGAAACATTTTGAATACATGCAAACCCACAAGTTACTGTCAAAAGCATTTATGAGATAATTAGGTAAATTTGAACACTGACTAGGTATTTGAATGCAGTAGGAAATTATTGTTAACTTTGGTGTGTTAATGACAAGGTGATTATCTTAAAGAGTCCTTTTAGAAATGTGTATTGAAATATTTATGGATAAAATAATACACTACCAGGGATTTATTACAAAATAATCCAAGGCTGGGGTGGGTGAGAGTCAGTGATGGTAGAAAGGAAATAGGACCGGCCGCATATCGACAATTCTGGAAGCTGAGATAATCGTTGATTTTTTAATGTGTCTGAAAATTTCTGTAATGAAAACATGGAAATAATCTTGATTTCGTATTCAAGGGTTGATACTCAAAAAAGAAGAGGATGAAAAGGAAAACTGAGGTAGGGGAAACAATTAAAAAAATAAATATATACAGATCGACACCAAAGGTATTTCGGGGCATTCTCCCTCCTTACTCTAGAAATTGAACAATTAAAGGGGAAAAATGAAGCATTTACCTTTTTTTATGAGCTAAATTTTAGAGTAATGAAGTAGCCATGCTTGCTAACAGAGAGTTCTCTACAAAAGCATCCCAGCTAATAAATACTAAAGAATGTTCATATGAGAAAGTCCCCACTTGTAATCCTTAGTGCGATAATTGATTCAAACAAGGACCATCAATAGATGAAACTGTTAGATGGAAGTTTGATGAAATTTACAGAAGAGATCAGGCTTTCCCCTCGTGGTCCACCCATCAGTCTTCGCATCACTAAGGACAGTTAATGTATACAGCCAGGCATAATGCACTCCGTGTGAAGTACGAGGCAGCCCCTTTGAAATACTGTCCCTCAAAGAGCTCACCCAGAGTCAGCCTCAAGCGATAAAACACTTAACGGCAGGGCAATTGACCCACTTTCTTCAGCAAGTCCAAATCATTTTCTTAAAGGGCAGAAGGGGTGCGGTAGGGGGAGTGCGTTATTTATTTATTTTTAAATTGAAATACAGTCAATTACAATGTGTCCATTTCCGGTGGACAACACAATGTCCCAGTCATGCATATACATACTTATATTTGTTTTCATATTCTTTTTCATTAAAAGTTATTACAAGATATTGAACATAGTTCCCTGTGCTATACAGAAGAAACTTTTTTTAAAACCTATTTTTATATATATGTGGCTAACATTTGCAAATCTCAATCTCCCAAATGTATCACTTCCTACCCCCTTTCCCCAGTAACCATAAGATTATTTACTATGTCTGCAAGTTTGTTTCTGATTTGTAGATGAGTTCATAGTGTCCTTAGGGGCAGTGCTTTAGATTAAGACCTAAGAGGCAAAGTGAACACCTTGTGTGGGAAAAACAAAACTATAGAGTTATTTTTAAGGTATTAAAAATTCTAAGTATTTGATAGGAAGGAATAATTCTTAATGTTTTTTAGGTAGAATATGGTTGTGCAAGGAAATGTCCATTTGTTAGAGAGTAATATTGAAGTATATTATCTCAGTATTGGGGGGATGAGGGTACATGTCTGGGGTTCACTTTAAAATCCTTTAGAAAAAGAAAAATGGATTAAAATAGGGCAAGAGAAGAGATAAAGCTAATATGGCAGAATCTTGGTAATGGTTGAGTCGGGTAGTGGATGTGGGGGGATTCCTTATATTTTGCACATTTTGGAACATTTTATCTGATAGATGTTATGACCATGCCATAGGAATTGAGGTCATTTCTTTTCTGTAGAAGTGTAAGATGTGAGAATTTCAGAAACTTACTTCTACACACTAGGTGTGTAGTATTGATTATTTATTTGACAATAATTAAAATGCAGATACAGTAAGACCAACTGGCAGGTGGGCAAGACTTTTAATGAAATGTTCTTTAGTCAACCAACCAATGAATCAAATTCAGACACAGAGAGTCACAACCATTTTCTGCCCCAAACTACCTTTGCCGTGATCCTGAGGCCTTGCAGGGCATCCGGGTAATACTCCGTGTAGACTCCTGGAGGTTTTGGTTCTGATGCAATGAGGAATTTTACTTTTCTGGAACAGCAGGACGCATGTGGCTCTCTAGGGGGAGTTTTTAAGAGAGGAAAACCAAACTCCCCTACAAACAGCGTGAAGGCAGCCACACACGCAGGAGGACGTCGCCACCAGTTTGCCGAGTATCTGGCTTGAAGGGCACGTTGAGAGGCGGTGGGAAGGCAACCTCCTCTTCATTCATCACGGAGCGGTAATTCCAGACCACCGTCATCGAGATACAGAGGCTGGCAGCTACGTTCAGAGTTCCTGAGGCAGTGAATGGATTACAGGCGGCCCTCGTCCACACAATTCCCAGGTACACGTTCCTAAGCGCAAAGATGATGAAGGCTTTTCCCAGAAGCCCGAGGATGCTGGCCATCAGAAGGAGACTTTGAGCAATAAGGATATGGAGAGGGAGGTGTGTCCCGGGAGGTGCAGTGGTGACACGGGGTGGCCGGGCTGGCATCGTGGATGTGGTGGAAGACGCAGGCTCACCGCATCCCCACGCGGGCCGGGCCGGCGGGGAGAGCGCGGCAGTGTCGCTGTACCGCCCTGGACACTCCGCCAGGCCCACGGCCGCGGTGCCCGGGGTCCATCCGATGGTGATGACGACGAAGCCGGCTAGCTGGCGTTCGCTGTTACTGTTGAGCAAGGGCGTGGTGGCCGCATACCCGGGGGCGCTGCAAACAAATCCAGGGCATGGTGAGAGTGGGCCCCTCGTGCCTGGAGCACCCCCCGCGGGTGAGCAGTGAGCCACGGGAGAGGGACGTGCTGCATTTCAGGGGGAAGCGCCGGGTCTGAGAGAGGGGCTGCGTTTGAAGATGGAGACCTCTGACCCCCGCGCTCTGCTGGAGGGAGCGCAGACCCAGCAAACCCGGTGACTGGCCCTGTTTACCGAAAGCCTGAGAAGGCACAGCCCTTCACACCTGCAGCTCTACTTCCGGGCATCTGTCTAAAGACGTAATTAAGACTGGCCACACGCACTTAGTCACAAAGATGGTCACCACCACACTGTTTGTAATATTTAAAAATGGGAAACTTCAAGTCCGGCAGTAGGGTTCGGTTAAACAATTCGTGCTACTTCCATACAAGGGAGCTATGTGCCCATGTGCAAAATATACCTGGAGTCATACGAGGTGTGCTAATGTTGTGTTTGACTCTTTTCACTTGGCATAGTGTTTTCAAGGTGCATCCGTGTCGTAGCGTGTGAGTACTTGGCTCCCTTGATGGCAATGCAGTCGTCAATTGTATGGATGTACCACAGTCTGTTTAGACATGTGTCAGTGTCTGGACGTTTGGACTGGTTCCAAGTTTTGGCTATTATGAACAATGCTGCTATAAACATTTCTATGTGAAACTTTGTATGGTAATATGTCCTCCTCTCTCTCCTGCAGGTACCAAGGAGATGGATTAGTGGGTCGTATGGTAAGTGTACGTTTAACTCTGGAAAGTTCTGAACTGTTCTACCAACTGGCTGCACCATTTTACATTCCCACCAGAAAAGGAAGGTTCCAGTTTCTCCATATCTTCTCCAACATTGTGGTAGTTTTAATGTTTTTGATTATGGCCATTCTAGTTGCCATTACAACAAAATGTGACCAAAAGGAAAAATGATCAGAATATATCGAGCAAGAATAGCACATTACCCACTAGTATGTATAATATAATCAGAGTTGTGAATAGACATTTTTAACTGCGTTAGAGGGGTGATGAATTTTGAAAGCTATTTGTATTGTGAAGAAGCACATTCATAAAGAAAAGAGCACATATTATCACAGAGCAAACAGCCGCAGAGCCAGCGCTCAGTCTGAGATACACAGCATCACTAATTCCTCATTTCTTTTTAGAGTTTTCACCTCAGAAAGCACCCCAAAGCGCCAGTTAAATTTGTTTTTCAAAATAGGAATCATGCCATAGGCATTCCTGTGGGACTGCTGCTTTCACTCAACGCTGTGCTTACGACTTGAGATTATGTTTTCTTTTAATGATGCCTGACTATTCAACAGTTATTTGTCAAGAGTGTGATTTCTTTTTTTGAGAGAAAAGACTTCAGGAAAGTGAAGCGATGGAGGATTAATTCTGGTACATCCCACACAGTCCTACCTAGGGGCATTAAAGTAATCCACTCACCACAGCACTTACCAGACGTGGATGTGGACGAGTATTTAGTAACCTGGGAAAACGTTCGTGGAGGGTTGAATTTCAGACGCAGACGATACTGTAAGTATGTAGGTGTCGTCTTACTCTTCCTTGTCATAAAGTACGCTGGGAAGGTACAACACAAGATGCATCTGACTGGTGGGACTACTAGTGACTTTTTAAGGTAAAATTCTATTCCTTTAATTGGAGAAAAATGTGTGGGGCACCTACAGTGACGTCAGCACAGACGTGAATAACGGGCGAGGCAGGAGCAGACGCTGAGGCCGGTTTGTGGAGAGCAGTGAGGGGGCCAGACTTGGTTACGGGGGTGGTCGCAGCTGGGAGGGCTTTTGCCAGCCTGGTACGAGCAGTCCCCTCTCGGGGCCAGAACATTCCTGGTGGATGCCATATTTCAAAAGGTTCTTTTTTGACCAGATAATGCCAAACCAATTAGTTTGAGGGAACAATTAAGGGGCATGTGGGCAGAAATCAGTCAGGTTGAGTTTGAGGATTTCTTTGGGGGTGAGTGTCGGAGCTGACTACCCAGCATGGGGGCTGGCGGGCAGTATTTCAGCGTTCAAGGTAACTGAACATGTTGTTACGGAGGGACAATCAAGTCTGGTAGAGATGGCATGCCACCTCAGCTGGCACAGACTGAGAAGGTGGCTCACTGTGCTGCCACGGGACATGGGACGGATCAAGCCCACCCACCATGTATGGCCCATTCAGGAGGGTGATGCTTTTGAGAGACGTGAACATTACTTACTTAATGTCTTGGGATCCCTCTGCAGGGCTGGGGCGCACAGACCCTGTCTCTGAGGGTAAGGAGCAGTCCTTTGGGGCCAGCAGAGAAGTCACCTTGTCCTCAATTCAAGTCAGCAGATCCTTCTAAAGAACTCTGCATTCCAGCGTCAGTTCTACACCTGAGAAACCCAGTGGGATAAGAACTGGGCCTGAGGGAAAGGAAGACTACGAGGCGTAAGTGAGGCCCATCTAAAACCATTTTGTCATAACTATTCCCAAATCTCTCCTCCACTCTGCACTATCTTCATAACTGTTTCCAAATCTCTTCTTCTCTCTCCTTTGTCTTCATAACTATCTCCGAATGTCTCCACTCTTCTCGAAACAATTTCCATATCTCTTCTGCTCTCTCCTCTCCCGATAACTATTTCTAAATCTCTCCTCCCTCCTCATAACTATTTCCAAAACTCTCCTCTATTTTCTCTTCTCTAATCATAACTATTTCCTAATGTATCCTCTATGTTCTCTCCTCTCTCGTCATAACTATTCCCAAATATTTCTTCTCTCTTCTCTCGTAATACCTATTTCAAAATGTCTCCACTCTCGTCATAACTATTTCCAAATTTCTCGTCTCTACCCTCTCCTCGTAACAATTTCTAAATCTCTCCTCTGTGCTCTCACCTCTCACATCCTAACTATTCCGGAATCTCTCCTCTCTCATCATAACTCTTTCCAAATCTCTCCTCTCTCCTGTGTCTTCATAACTATTTCTAAATATTTCCTCTCTCCTTGCTTCTCAAACTAATTGGACTTTATCATTCCATCTCCTCATAACAATTTAAAAATCTATCCTATCTGCTCTCTCCTATCCCCTGATAACTATTCCCAAACCTCTCCTCTTTCTTCAAAACTCTTTCCAAATTGCTCCTATATCCTCATAATTATTTCCAGATCTCTCCTCTCTCATCTCTCCTCACTCCAAATAACTATCTCCAAATGTCTCCTGCTCGCTCCTCAAAACGATTTCTAAATCTCTCCTAGTGCTGTCCGTCTCTCCTCTTAAGTAGTCCGAAATTTATCCTCTATACTGATAACTTTCCCTTAATCTCTCCTCAAAACTATTTCCACATCTCTCCCTCTTTCCTCTCCCCATATAACTATTATCAAATCTCTCCTCTCTCCTCACAATTGTTTACATATCTCTCATCATATCTCCACATAATTAATTCGAAATCTCTCCTCTATGCTCACTCCTCATAACACTTTCCTATGTATCTTTTCTCCTCTCTCCTCATAACTGTTTCGATATCTCACATCCTCTCTCCACATAATGAATTCTAAATCTCTATTGTATACTCTCTGCTCATAACTCTTTCCTATAATCTCTTTTCTCCTGTCTTCTAATAACAATTTCCAAAACTCTCCTCTCCTGTGTCCTCATAAGTAGTAATGAATCGCTCGTATCTCCTCATAATTTTTTCGAAATCTATCCTATATCATCTCTCCTCTTAAATAATTAGAGATCTCTCCTCCTATGTCCTCATAACGATTTCCAAATCTCTCCTATCTCCTGATAACGATTTCGAAATCTCTCTTCTGTGCTATCACCTCCCTCCTCATAAGTATTCCAAAGTCTCTACCGTCTCCTCACAAATGTT